AGTCACAGACTTTTGGCTTAACCTACCTCACAGGGTTGTTGTGCAGATCAAAAGGGGGAGAGGAGAATTATGTGAGCTGCTTTGGTCTCCACTGTAGAGAAAGACTATACTTTTCCTAGGTAGAGGATGCAGGAAGCAGGGAGGAGATGGAAACCTGAAGTCAGAGGGGCAGATAATGGCACGTTGATTGTTGGCTGGGAAGGAGATAGGGTTGCCACATCCAGGTTGGGAAATTCTTGGAGATTTCAGGGGTAGAGCCAGGAGACAGTGGGGTTTGAGGAGGGGTGAGAATTCAGACAGGTACAATGCCATAGAATCCACCCTCCAAACCAGCCATTTCCTCCTGGGGAACCATTCTTGCCAATCACCAGAGGAGGGCTGGGGATCACTCAAAATTACCATTGCTCTTCAGATGGCAGAGATCAGTTCCCCTGGAGAAAAAAGTGTGTCATTATATCCTGCTGAGGTTGCCACAGCAAATTGATGCTGAGTGCCCAAGGCTGGGGCACCCACTCAGAGCCTCTTTCTAGAACTCATTGTATTTATTTCAACAATGGGTCTTATTCCTACTATCATATAATGATGTTAAATATGTAGTAACTGGAGTATTTTGGTTTTTGAATATTAGCAAATCAAAGGTTATCTATGTGATATGTTACAGAAAGTTTTTGTGTTATGATCTATGTCAGATTTTGAGAAAATGTTCACTATGTGTGAAGAATCCTTTAAAAAAAAAAACCTGTATACAATTTTTATTAACAGCCTGAATAGCCTAGATTAGCCTGAGTTTATCAGAGTTTGTAAGCTAAACTGGGTCAGCCATGGTCAGCCCTTGGATGAAAGACCACCTAGGAAGACAGGGATTGCTAAGAAGAGGAAGGTAAAGGTATCCCTTGCTCGAAAGCCAGTCGAATCTGACTCTAGGGGGCAGTACTCATCTCTGTTTCCACGCCGAAGAGCCAGCGCTGTCCAAAGATATCTCCATGGTCATGTGGCCATCATGACTAAACCGAGGTGCACGGAATGCTGTTACCTTCCCACCAAAGTGGTACCTATTCATCTACTTACAATTTTCTGCTTTCGAAATGCTAGGTTGGCAGGAGCTGGGGCCAGAAATGGGAGCTCACTCTGTCATGCGGCACTAGGGTCTCAAACTACCGTACTACAGACTTTCTGGTCTGCAGCTCAGCATCTTAACCTCTGAGCCACCACTGCCCTTGGTAGCAGAGGAAGGCAATGGCAAACCACCTCTCCTTGTTTCTTCTCTAGAATGCCCTGTGCATGGGGTCACCGTATGTGTCAGTTGTAACTTGACCATATATCCTTCTTTGTACCATTTTATTGGAGCTATTACATAATTCTGATGATAGTTTTCTTATAAGATCTCTAAAAGATATTGGTAGTAATTTAGATGATAAAATGTGGAGATACATATTTACATATAGGGGAAAGCAGTGGGGGAGACAAGGGTTATCCAGCCATCTTTATTTTTATGAACAATGTGTTTATGAATAACATTGTCTCACAGCGGTGTGACAGTAGGGGGGAAATAGGTATACTCTCATGAGGGAAAAAGCAGCTTGGAGTGTGATTTTGATATGAAAAGTAGCACATGAGGAACAGAATAAGGATATACCCTTACCCCCATTTTAGTAATATTTATAAGAACATAAGAGAGGCCAATGTTGGATCAGGCCAAAGGCTCATCCAGTCCAACACTCTGTCACATAGTGGCCAAAAATACCAGGTGCCATCAGGAGGTCCACCAGTGGGGCCAGGACATTAGAAGCCCTCCCACTGTTGACCCCCCCCCAAGCACCAAGAAGACAGAGCATCACTTGCCCCAGAGCCCCAGTTGCTTCCTGCAACTTTATTTAACTTTTTAAAATAATAAGTTGATTACTTAAGCATCTCTTGTCTTATTTAGATTGGCCCTCACGATCTGCAGCAGCAAAGTGAGGTCACATGTAGCTTTTTAAAAAAATTACCTCAGAATGTGATACATCCCCTGTTTCTTGATCTTGTAGTGTGACTCTTCTTTCTGAAATTCCACAGCAGGTGTTTTGTATTCCATATCCCCTCCTTCACACAACACTGGGAAAGTGAAGATCTGGAAAAGCATTTAATCTGTTCAGGGGGATCTAAGGGACAGCCATTTTTCTGGGTTCTCCCTCTTCCCCACAAACATCAGCCTAGTCTAAACCTCCTCATCTGAGAGGACAAATTAGTGAGAGACAGCGAGGCTCACCTTTGTGAGCATGTAGCCAGTATGACAGTACACTGCTCTTCATGCATTTCCTTAGGCTAAGCTACATGTACCTCTTTCCCATTTTGTGTAATACTGAGTGTTATTCAGAGTTCCTATTCCCCAAGGTCTTGGTCACCTGTGCCTCTTCTTCTGGATGTTAATGCTGCCTAAGTCAAGGTGTAGGTATCCTGGACAGGGCCCTTCCCATGGGTTGTTCAGTTTCCTGTGCTGTGTTTGAGAGGTTCAGTTCCTTTTTAGAATGGGCCTTGCATCACAGGACGGGATTATGCAGCACTGCCCACTATCTTGATGATTTCTTGTTGGCAGGAGGGAGGGATACTGGGCAGTGTGAATTTTTACTGAAGAGCTTCATGGGCCCGGCAAAGGAGCTGGGGGTTCCTCTTGCCCAGGAAAAAACAGAGGGTTCTACCACAAGTTTGATTTATTTGGGAATAGAGATTGACACGGTGGGGCAGCTGTATAGATTACTGCAGGGTAAATTGCATGCGCTGCAAGCTAGGGTTGACTCGGCTAGGATACTTAGGAAGATCACCTTGCTTGAATTGCAGCAGCTGGTCAGCCACCTCAACTTTGCATGCAAGGTTGTGGCACCCGGCCAGGCATTTGTAAGGAGGCTGTGTGAGTCCATGAAGGGGTTCCGTCTCCCACACCATAGGGCCAGGGTCACTGGGGGTACAAGGGACGATCTTCTTGTGTGGAAGGAATTTTTGGAGTCATATAATGGGGTGTCTTTTTGGCGGGAAGACCTCTTAGTCGAAGCTGAACTGCAGGTCACATCTGACTCTGCCGGTTCCTCCGGCTTTGGAGTCTATTTCCGTGGGCACTGGTGTGCTGAGGACTGGCCAGAGGAATGGTTCCAGGCAGGGTGGGTCAAGGACGGAATTTTTCCCGATTGACATAGCAGTGTGGATTTGGACAGCAGAGCTTGCCAACCATACTGTCCACTTCTGGTGCGACAATCTGTCCACAGTGCACGTGATTAACTCATTGACGTCCAGGTCTCCTAGGGTCATGGCCCTGGTCAGAGCCTTCACTGTCTGCAGAACAATATTTTTTTCAGGGCCAGGCATGTCCCGGGGTCAGTAACGGGGTTGCTAACGCTCTCTCCCGAAAGCAGATGGAGAGATTCCACCAGTTGGCTCCAGATGCCGACCAGTTCCCGGTTCATATGCCGGCGGAAGTGTGGCAGATTGGCGGGTTGAGGCCGACATGGCGATGAGTTTAGCACTAGCCCCTTCCGCCTGGAGAGCTTTGGGGAGAGCTTTAGGAGGGGCTTTGGATAATGCAGTGGGGTAATCTTCGGTTATTAATGGGATTCCTCTTACAGGTGCTGGTGGCCGCGGGGCAAGATGACGAGTCACTGTCTGCGGCCACAGTATGGTCTTTTGGGCCACTCACTGGGCCAGGAGGACGCCCATCGGTTCTCAGCTGGGCCTAAGCGAGTGGGTTGTCATCGAATGGTTGGGAAGGAGGGGTATGAGATGGCCTGCACTCCTTCCCTTGTTATTTGAGGAGAGGCGGGGGCCTCCTCCACACGTTTTGCTGGTGCACCTAGGGGGAAATGACCTGGGTCTGATGAAGGGCATGGCCCTTGTGTTACAAGCTAAGGCGGACTTTGCAAGGATTAAGGCGAGGTGACCCGGTGTGCAGATAGTACGGTCAGCTATTCTGCCCCTCCAGGAGTGGCGCAACTTGGGGGAACCTCGCTGCATTGATCGTGCAAGACGTAAGGCCAACAGGCGAATGAGGAATGCCATGGAGGGTGGTTTAGGGCAATTGCTGCCGCACCCCAATATACGGGTCAAGTTGCAAGACCTGTATAGGGCAGATGGGGTGCACCTGTCTGACAAGGGAAACGGGTTCTTTTTGCAGGACTTGCGGCAAGGGATTAGCTCAGCCTTGACCTTTTAGTGGGAGCAAAGACCAAAGCAGAGGCTTGGTCTTGGCCGTGGCAGGTTGGTGCGGGCAAGAAACCGGAACCGGTGATCACCTGACAGCAATTTCCCCATTAGAGAACAGGGGGTCATCAGGAACTGCTTTTGGATTTTCAGGTCCAGGGTGGGGAATGGTGATCACCTCCTTTGGGAACCTTGTAGGGTATGCTCCTCTCTGCAAGTTGTCAGGCTTCAGGGGTAGGCACTCCTATGTGGCAACCAGTTTTCTGGGCTGCCGGTCACGAGCCAGATCGATGGCTCAAGACCGGAGCTGGGTGACCCGCCCGAGAAAAGGGCAAGGAGGTTGGTCAAGTGAATGATACCTGCCTTGCCTGTTCCATGCTCGCTTAGATGGTCCCTTGCCGCAATGTTAAAGTGGTCCTTGTTTACTTCCAAACTGTTGTCTGTCTCGTTATTCCGACTGGGGGGGGGGCAATGACAGTACACTGCTCTTCATGCATTTCCTTAGGCTAAGCTACATGTACCTCTTTCCCATTTTGTGTAATACTGAGTGTTATTCAGTGTTCCTATTCCCCAAGGTCTTGGTCACCTGTGCCTCTTCTTCTGGATGTTAACGCTACCTAAGTCAAGGTGTAGGTATTCTGTGTCAATACAACTTCGAATGGAAAATATTTCTAATTAAATGAATTGAGTTTAAATAATGTATTTAATAACAGGCTCATTGTTTTTCTGCCATTAGGATGTTATTTGTTTTAAGCCTATCAACAGCATATGCTGTTTTGACTGGTGTGCCTGCTGTGCCTTACCTGTTTATCTTCATTTTTTTCTCTCTTTAGGATTTGATACCAGCATTTTGCCTATTTGCAAGGACTCCCTTGGCTGGATGTTCAACAGGCTTGATACAAACTATGACCTGCTATTGGACCAATCAGAGCTTGGAAGTATATACTTGGACAAAAATGAACAGTGCACCAAGGCATTCTTCAACTCTTGTGACACATACAAGGACAGTTTGATATCTAACAATGAATGGTGCTATTGCTTCCAGAGACAGCAAGGTACAAGGATGGAATAACTTGCAGATATTGATGACTGATGTTTACCCTAGCTGTTTGTGAAATATTCAAAATATAATGGAGAACTTGTAGTAGAATGTGTAAAAATGTAATATTTTAAAGGACTAAGACAATTATAATTGGTTGGATCCAAAGTACCCTTTTATGTGCAGAAAGCTTTTAAATTCACCGTTTTTATATATATATTGAAATATTGGATTGACAACAATGAAAAACTTTCCACAGATGGTCTTCTACTTGTGCAAAAATCTGTGCAACTTAACTGCTTGTTGTAACACAGTTTGAATTCTTGTATTAGCTTTACTGGCTATTTTTTGATCCAGTGCAATATAAAAAGAAAATATATTATAAATATTACAAAATATAAATATTAATATCAATAACATAATATAAATTATGTTAATATAGTATGCTATAAAAAGAGACTATAAAAAAGAGGGAGACCAAATAAATGCAATGTGCACTTGCACCATAGTGTCATTTGTAATGATATGACACATTCTCATTTAACCCCCAAATGCTTTTAAAAGAGCAAAGCTAATTCTAAAGTTATTTTGTTTCCAGCAAGGTTTGTGTTTAAGATTCCATGCTGGGAAATAGCTGGTTTTTGTTTGGCAGGGAACATTCTTTATTCAGTTTCTAAGAGCTACTAGAACTGGTATATTTTTTACAGTTCACTTTTATAAATTTCCTTCCAGAAATAATCTGCAGAGCACATGCAAAGCATATTGGGTTTCATCCTATTGCTCAGGTTGGTGTAGTGCAGAGGCTTTCTCTAGCAGAAAAGTCCCTTCATCCTGTGGAAGAGTTTCTTCCTCAATCAGAAGGTTCAGTGCTCATGCTAGAAGACTGAATATCTTTGTATACCAGATACTAGAAAATAACAGCTGTTGAACATAATTCTGTGATTATGAACTTCCCAGAGGCATTTGGATAGCCAGTAAAAGGAACTGAATATTGGATTCATGGAGTTTAGGTTTAATCTTACAAATCAAGTCTTATATACTTATAGCATCATTGCCTTACAGATCAGTCCTACAGAATAAAGGTGATGAGGCAGTAAGCAATTTTAAAACTGTATACAATTTAAGTTGAACAATCCATTCCTCTGTTCTCAAACACAACTGAAATGTAACATGTGTGATGTCATTCTAGACCCGCCTTGCCAGACAGAGCTCAGTAACATTCAGAAACAGCAAGGGGGAAAGAAGCTCCTAGGTAAGTCATAGATCATTCTTTTGATGTTTTTATTGCTTACATAAATAATCCTACTGAAACTGCAGCGCAAAATCAATATGAATCCTAAAATGATGGACCAAACTAAATTCCAGTAACAGAATTTATAAAGTCTTTGAAAGCTATTAAACTTATTTTTATTACCTTATCAATCCAAGATACTACATCTGTTTTATTATAGTACTAGAATGTCTATTATAGTACTAGAAAGAGAAGGGCTGGATGATACCATGGTAAAATAACATTTATTTAAGAAGCCCTCTACTGTTTCCTTTTGAATATAAATCTCTTATGGAGAATAAATATGTTTACATAATTATAGCAATAATATTATCATCTTGCTTTACCATGTCTATTACTGAAAGCTGTAGTAGTAACTTATAAAACTTGAAAACTGTCCCATGTGTTATGATATCTAAGTGGAATTTTTATTCTACAGTCCTTAATATGCCTTAAGAAGATTTTAGAGGGCAGTTGCACACAACCTCTAAAAGGAACATACAAATACATTAAAAACAAAAGGAGTCTCATAGCACCTTGTGGCTTAATCCTTAGTGTATTAGAATCTTCTTCATCAGATGGATCAAATAGCTCTAGACAGAGTGTAGACCACAAAAGCTTATTTATGTGGTATTGTGATTAGTGTTTCGGGCTGGGATCTGAGAGACCCAGGTTCAAATTCCCACTCTGTCATGGAAGCTTACTTGGTTGCCTTGGGCCAGTCACATGCTCTTATCCTAACTTACCATGCAGGA